ACATTAATACATTATGCTAATTTTCATCTTTGTAAGCGCATAAGACAGTGCAAATTATTTCTGTGACAGTCTTTTGAAGTGTGTAAAGCTCCATTTTATCCCACACATAGTCAAAATATTGGGGGGGGGGATGATACAATGGACCATCCCCCCTTGTCAAATATTGGGGGGATATATCCCCTCCATCCCCCCGGGATCTACGCCTATGGACGTAATAGAATGTAGTTAGGTCTCTCTGAGAACGAGCAGGGCGGGGTGGAACGTAACAGCATCTGTGTTGGATCGTACTCCTATTTTCCCTCCCGTTCGCAAGATGTGCAGCTCGTTTTTTACCCGTTCGTTCCATGTTCGCAGTACGGCAATTCCGTTTTCAGTACGGCAATCTCGTTCGAAATACGATCTTAAGTCCTATTTTTGAACGGGTAGATCGCGATCGAATTTTAAACATGGTTGACGTTCTGGACCACCATTCCCGTCCTTGCCCGTTCGTACTAAGATTGTATTCGGTCTCTACTACGTCCATTCCGTTCATATCCCGTTCGTTCGTCCCCGTTCCACCCCGTTCTCCAGAACGTAGTGCAAACTAGTGTGAAGGTAGGAGCGACTCGCTACTACTACAGCCTTACCATTGGCGCTGGTTCGAGCCGCTCCTCGCCCAGTTTTTTCGGATAAGGATTCAACACGGGAAGTCCAGTGTACACATCTGGCTAATTGTGTGCACTTTAAAGAACCCATCTTGCATCTTTCGGAAGAGTAGTGTGTTTTCTCAATGCTATGGTTCAATTTTAGCGTTATGGAATGATATGAGCTAAGTGCAGTGCCTCTCTGCGTAGTCACGGACCACGCTCATACGCAATTCAGCACAATGACGCTGCAAGTAATGGGTTATTCTCCTACATTTACGTTTACCTAAGAACAATACAATAAAATGCAGTAATGAGATGAATTAATATATAATTAACATCTTCAGTGAATAAATATCATTTGGTGAAAGTAAAGTTAAATAAGTTGAAAACTTAAAACATGGAGTTCCTACCTGCCGAGCGATAAAGTAGGGGCGCCGCTAAATGGCCTTAACATCGGTACTGGTTCGAGCCAGTGGCGAAATCATCCTGGGAGAGAAACCATTTATGAAATCGAATATTGTATCCAATCCATAGCGCTATCCCCCGACGGTCACCTGGTCCTTAGTCTAAGTTTGGGGCAGGAATATTGATTAGGCCTACTAATGTATTATTTACTGTATATATCGTACTTTCACTAAATGAATAATATGCGGCAATGATTACTTATGGAAATAAACGAACCAATAATAATAGGCCTATTGTATTAAAAAGAATAAAACGAATTTGTCCATATATTTAGCATTTGGGTTGAAAAAAAAATCGTTGTCTGCGAAATGTTTATTTATTTCCATTTTCTGTCAGTAGGGTAGCCCTCTCAGTGAAAACTCTCCTCCTCAGGTGGTGGTGGGGGCGTATCATAAATTAACATTTACAGAAGAAAATATACTAAATCTTTTAAGCTATCATTTTTTTTTAATTTGGAGTAAAATACTCTCTGGTACAATTTTAATCATTTTAACTTAACTTCTGCTTGAAAGTGGGCTTTTTGCTAATCAAATAATTGTAAGTGAGGGCGCTATTCATGAAGTTGTTTTAAAGCGGTAGCGCGTGTTGCAGCATTGGGTCTAGGAATAATTTTATGGTACTCTTAAATATTATACCTAGGCCTAACTGGTATAAACAGTAAGTCGATAATCGTCAACTAATAATATGTTCGATGGAGGAGAAGATTGGGATGCCGAAATAAATGGTACCGCACAACCTGTTGTCGCACAGACTTTTAATGCTAGCTCTAACGATGGTTGGTGGGATAGGCCTAGGGCTTCCCGAGAGGCGACGGAGTTAAAGAGCTTCGGACGCGGTCGTAGAAGAGAAAATTGGAGAGACAATGGTCAATCATCGGGTTCTGTGCGAGGTTTCCGGCAAACTTCAGAGAGAACAGGAGGAAGAAACCAATATTTTAATGATGGCAGGAGAGGTGTTAATGTCAATAACTGCCAGGAGGGAAAGGTAACCAACGATGATGGAAGTTGGCAACGTCGAGGTGGAAATAATACTAATAGAGATACGAGACGAGACCGAGGTGGATGGAATGATGGAAGCGGAAAGGCCATTGACGTTGACAGCAGTATGATTGGGAAAATAATCGGTGAATCACTTTATTAATAATCACTTTCAGAGTAATATAAATTCCACGATTTTTTATACTAAGTCAGGCATTCATGGCGATCCAGGATATGCACAGTTTGTTCCATTTGCTTTGATAACTGATAACTATAAAAAGTTCTTGATAATTGCAATGAATGAAAATCTAGGCTATTCTTAACGTTAATACACAAACTAAAAATTAGAGAATTTTGAATCTTTTTCAATGTCAGCCCCATCTATTTTCTTTTATAGGTCTACAAGTCTTCTTAAGCCTATTATTAGCCTTGGATTTTCAACATTTGATTTGCCTTGACTGTCAAAATGAGGGATGCATGCAGTAGCATGGGGAAGGGCGTGGATAAAAAAAACTTGCACCCCATTTTTTCCTACCGTACCACTAAAAATTTTCCAAACACAGAAACTCCACTCATGTACAAGAGTTAAAAACAATGAATCAGAATTCCAAGACGAGGAGTACAGTATGATACCCCAAAAATGGCCCACATTTACCTTAGTTTAGCTCCACGAAGTTTGGTGCTGAGGTGAGCAAATTATAAGAATAGACACCTCTAAATGCCCTGTAAATGGCAATTTCAGAATGTAAAAAATATGTTTTCAAAGTACCCAACAAAATGACATGTATCACATCGTGTCAGCTCTCCACTTAATCCTGTATCCCCAACAGTTTTCCCCTCCCCATGTCAGTACTCTACGCCACTATATATAGTGAGCTACTGTTCAGAAAAAGCCAGACTTTTGTTAAAAGTCGTGTGGCCGAGCGGTTAGAAGGGGCGCCGCAAGCTATAGCCATAATATCTGCGCTGTTTGGAACAGCACACTCGCCTATGGTTCTGGGTGGTAGAACAAGTCTTCTTGGATAAGGACTATAAACCGTAGGCCCAGTGTATACAATGGCTCGTGTGCACTATAAAGAACCCAGTACATCCTTCGAGACGAGTAGGGGATACCCCGGTGTACTGGAACAGACAGCCCCTGTGGTGGACGACGAGAGTTGCTGGTACCGGGCAGCACAGACACGAAGGGACCCTTAGGGGCGAAGAAAGTCATTGATCGAGTTCCTAGTCCACATTTCAAGCGCCCTGAGCATCTTGCATTAGATGGATTTGTGCGCTATATAAAACTACACTATTATTTAATTATTATTAAAAAGCCGAAATAGGTGGTCATGTTTCTATTAATAGAAAACTTTTTTATGTACCTGTACTGAAAATCAGCCGGAAAATGATTTATTTTTTAACATTGTTGTGCAGGACGGATCAAAATCTTAATTAATCCTAATACAGTATGGTTATTTATTACTAGGCCTGTTTTTGTATATAATTTTTTTTGCTTTCTTTTCAGGAAAGCAAGGCTCAAAAATTCGGCAATTGCAGGATGATAGTGGTGCACGAATCCATGTCAGTACCAATTCATACATATTTAAAGTTAATAATTGGTTTATAATAAATAAATAAATTAATTGAATAAATAAAAAGAATAATCTTTTGTACTGTATGTTGTTGAAAAACTGAAGTCAGCATCAAAGCTGCAGTATGAGTCTGCCCTTCCTGCTAATCAAGGATCTAGCAGGGTTCTCATCAGCATTTTGGAGTGGTGGTCGGCGACCACCCCCACCCCAGAGGGCGTGGTCGCCGACATAAAAACCTCCCCCCCCCCAGCCTGACAAAATCAGGTTAATCAACAACTCCCTACTCTGGTAATCGTGCAACGAAAGTTGTTTGTTGGCCTACGTTTTTTTCCACTATCAATTGCAAAAATAGTGGTGGCCGGCAGCCTGAAAATATCGGTCGGAAATGTTGAGTGCTGGACGGGCCCGACCACCGCCAACCAGCGTGGTGAGAACCCTGTCTAGTGTACTTCAGTCAGCTATATAGAACATTAATATTGTTGTACATCAAGTGTAAACAATTGGTTGATTTCCCGTTGATTTATAATCACTCAGTACTGGGGAGGGACAACTTGATTTCCCGCTCCACAACAAGTCATCCATTCGTAGAAGCCTTTATGAAGAAAGCCTACCTAAAATGGCCTAGATTGGCACAAGACTAGCTAACTCCGGCTTTGAATATAGGAAGATTGAAATGGGTTAATAGAGTATACAATGTACGCAGTGTTCCTTTGAAAATTTATATTAAGTATATAGAGAGGGCAGCTTAGCTCAGTCGGCTAATCTGGTGGTAGCCGCTGTGTGTGCGCTGAACCGTGGATATCTCAGGTCCCCGGTTCAATTCCCATCACTGCCTCTCCTTGTGTTTCAGCTACTGTAGAGGGCTGAAATACAAGTTATAATAGCACACCATCTTTCGGATGAGACAATTAAGCCGTTGGTCCCGTGCGCATTATGGCCCATGTGCACGTTAAAGAAGAGAGAAAAAGAACGCAGTACACTCTTCGGAAAAGAGTAGGGGATTGTCTCCCGGTGTACTGCCAAATCACCACCAGAAGGACCCCACTGGAAATAAGTCTTCTTCTAAACTTTCGTGGGCTATCCTTGGTGTTTACACCGAATAAATCCAATCCAATATGTTAGTAGTATTAATAATTTAGGTTAAAATTTCCACATGAATAGAATATATTGATTTCTTTCTTCGAACAAGGTATCAATTCTTAAATATGTATTATTAGTAAAATAAATAAGATTTAATGAAACTATGGAAGAAGCATAAGAATAAAGAAATATAGGAAAGAAATTTTTAACGGCTGAAATATTTACCGAAAATAAACAATAATAATCATTTTGTCATTATTGTTTTTGTAAAAATTTGTTTAGGCACTAATCGTCAGAGGTCAAGGTGCCGGCAGCCTACACGTTTCATATATTCGACATCAAACACTCAACCTGTTTATGAATAATGTATTTTTGTCTGTATTTTTTATGCTTTGTTGAACTTTTCATACAAAATAGAAAGTATTTAGATCAAAATGGGAGAGTACATGTTTATTCATTTTTTTTAATAACATATCAATAATTCATATTACATTGTATTCTTCATTTTCATTTTTACTGTATCTCAGTACATTGTTTTTTAATTAATCAATCAGTAGAATTTGTATTTACAGTATGCCAGATATCCAGAAAAAAAAAAATTTGCTCAGTGGCACGTTCATGACCTTTGGCAAAGTCTTAAATTATATTTTAAAAATTATAAAATGCATACTCTTATTTTCTGCAGGTATCTCGGGATAATGACAATTACTCAACACGTGTACAGATTAGTGGGTCAGAAGAAGCAATAAAGAAAGCAGAGAAAATGATTGATGAGATTGTTAATCCAAAGAGTATCTTTGAACAAACAGGTACTCTGATTTTGTCTTAAAAAATGATTAAAACATTTAAATCAATTACAAACTGAAAATTGAATTGAACATTGCCAAATCAATATATCATTCCAGCACTGGCATAACTGGGGTAGTCCCATCCCAAAAAAGCTTCTTCCCTTCGAAAATGTCAGAAGCAAAAAACAATCACTCTCAAATTGTTAAAAATCACTTTATGTAACTCTATCTTCTAATGTAGCTTCCCGTCACCTAATCATTGAGTCACTCCACCTTTGCGCCACTATCAGCCCCTCCCACTCTTCCCACCATCCATTTCAAGACTCTAGATTCACTACTGCTTTCCAGAAGGTAACTCAAACATAAAACTTACCTACTGTGTCAAAACAGGGAAAGGATTACATGATTGCCCCACAACCGTAAATGTTTACATATTTTTTTTGACACTGTTACTTTGTGGGATCGTAGCAAGTATATCCAAGAGGCGGGGCTAAAGGAACAGCCATTATATTCTAATGTCGTGAATTAAATTTAGGCTTTTTGAGATTCGCGAAAGTTTAATGTCGCGAAAACGGCCGAAATTATCAATTCGCGAAAGTTTCTGGTTTACAGTATCTATTTAGGCTAGGCCTATGTATGAAGATACAGTATATGTAAAAATATCAACTTTTTTTACAGCTCATAGTTGATTCTAAAAAACTGTTTAAAAAAAATGATGTAGAGAAATGCCATCAAATGGGCTTTAAAAACTCTAATACCCTGGAGCGCAATGGCGCTTCGCCCCCTTGACCCCTGACCAGGGCTTTGCCCCTGGACCCCGATGGGGGGCCTAGGCGGGCCCCCCCCCTCTACACCCCGGCCTATTTCAATTTACTCTCCTGTTACTTTCAAATTTCTCCTGCTACTCAAATTCATAAATAAACCCCTGCTGGAAGGCAAACAAGTATTTATTACAGCCACTTTTACCGTGACTTCTTTGATGACTTGGTTTACTCAGCTCAGCCTTCCTGGTTGGGCCTGGTCTACCTTTAGCAAATTCTTTATATTCTTCAAATCTATCAAATGTTGCATTAAACTAAAGCTAAATCATATTTATGTTTGTTTGATGAAACAATCTTTATTAATTGAATTTATGTTGTTTTCATACCTACATTCGGTGGGGATTCCCAAAGAGCTAAGGCTAAACCATTGTCTACCCGGTGAGAATTTCACTTAAACACATGTAAATTGAAAGCATATTTATACCCTGCTGGAAAATGGATGGTTCTAACTTGCCTACAACGCATGAACATGGCTCTGCAAATACAGTACCATACTTGAAATTTGGTTCCCCAAGATGTCGTTCTTGATAATATAATTAATTCATAAGATACCGTAAAAATGATTTGCTGTTAACATCACAAATAAATTTTAATACTGTAGTCAACAAAATACATTAGGCCTAGAGAGAACCTAGAGTAGTATTTACAGTAGACTAAGGTGAGGGATGAAGATGCATATGCATAGCCTAGAAAAATAATGTGACTAAACAACCGTAGCCATGCACAATCTCTATCTATACAGTAACTAAATATCTTTGTGATAGCTAATTCAACACTATTCCTTTGAAAACAAAAGTCCAAAATTTAAACACCTTGAAATGCACTCGAAAGGTCATAATTTTCTATTTTTTTCTTATGTACAGAGGGGGATAACCCCTCCCCGCTGTTGGTCATGCCCATCGCCTGTCGCTTCCCTCTCAAACCAGCCCCTGCTCGGCGTCATGTCCATCGGCTGTCGCTATGCAACAAGTTCTTCGTCTTCAATTTTGGACGGCCAATTACTTTTTTCTGGCTAAATCCCTGCTCTGGATGCACTTCTGCTGACCTTTCAAATGCAATGGATCGTAATGTTTGGAGTGAATGAGACATTCAATCCCAACCAAGCTCGACCATGATAAATAATAAATTGTTTTTTTTTTTTTACAGAGAATGAAGAAGAGGAAGAACCTGTGAGAAGGTAATGTAGATTATAAGAAATTGTTTATACAATTTTCAAGTACAAACAAGTACCCTGTAGTTGATGATAATATCTGTGCAAATCTTTAAACTATGGTTGAAACTAATATTGAAATGGAATTTTTTGGGGTTGAAACTAATATTGAAATGGGTTTGTGCAATTGGTTTTTAAATATTTTAAAATTGTAATCATTATTATTATTATTATTATTATTATTATTATTATTATTATTATTATTATTGTTGGTAATAATGATAATAATAATATATACAGTTAATATATATAGATATATATATAGATATATGTAGATTTTATACTACTTAATTTTTGTAATCAATTATCTCAATTCATGTAATTATTTAATGATGATTAAATAAAATATAACTGAGTATATACATTAGTTTATGAATCTTGCAGGCCTCAAATAAATTGGCAGCAGGTGATACGAGATTCAGATATTGCTTCAGCTGAGAGGTGGAAAAGTAAGTGCTTCCCATAGATACTCCTAACATCAATTAATTTGATTTAAGCTTGTAAAAAATCTCTTGGTAATTGTGGTTTGTAGAAAAGTAAATGCTTAATTTTACCCATAAATTACCCCAAGGTCAAAATCAGTTTTAAGTTTGTAAAAAATCGCTTGGTATTTGTGGTAGTTGGAAAAATAGGTGCTTAATTCCCACAGATAATCCTAAGATCAAAATCGGATTTAGGCTTGTAAAAAATCTTTCAGTAGTTTTGGTGGGTGAAAAAGTAAGTGCTTCATTGTACCCATAGATTATCCCAAGATCAAAATCAGATGTAAAAAATTGCTCGGTAGTTTTGGTGGGTGGAATAATAAGTTCTTTATTCCCAAAAATTATACATAAATCAAAATCAGAATTAAGATCGTAAAATAATCTCTTAGTAGTTGTAGTGGGTATAAAAAAAGTTCCTTATTCCTGAAGATTATACCAAGATCAAAATCAGATTAAAATTTTTTTTAAATCTGTTGGTGCAGTAGTTCTTACTTTAATCTTTGGGCTATAGCATTTTTACACCCTCATTTGCTGGTCAATTCATTAAAACTGGTAGAATTTGTTTATCATTGCGCTGTCCTTGTTTAATAAATCTTTAAAACATATTACTGGTATTGGCCAGCACTGATAGAGTGGACTGTAATTTGTAACAAATATTTAGAATAGAAATATTTTCTAATGTTTTGTTGTGGTTGATAGAAAAGTAAGTTAATCTTAATTCTTGATTATCCCAAGATCAAATCAGATTTAGGATTATGAAAATCTCTTGGTAGCTGTGTAGATAACAAAAGATGACCACTGTGTGGGTATAAAGGAGCAATCCTGGTTTCAAACCCCCCCCCCCCCCGTATTATTAAAATACAACATTTATCGTATGCAGATATTGACTGCTCATGAGGGTAATGGTGAAGTCTATTGCCTGCATGTGATGTGGGTAACGTAGCCTACTACTGATAGTAGGCTACGTCCTCCACATCACGGAGGGGCTATAAATTTCAAATTATAAAATTATTATACCTTTTAAAATTTTTTACTCTGAATCGCTGATATGTACATTTTTTACTTCAATGTTTCTAAATTGTATATAAAATTGTAAATATATCCAATTCTATTCTCTCAGATCTAATCCCTTTTTTGCTTTATTTTTTAGCTTTTCATAATTTTTTTACTTTGTTTTATTTCATGAAATTTTGTATTTATTTAGCATTTCGTGTCCTTTTTTGTGATGTTATTGTTCTGTGTTTTCTTGGTCTATTGTTCAACTTCAATTTTTTATGATAAAAATTGCAATAAAGGTTCTCGCATCTCGTAAATTTCACCGTTCACAAAATCTACTGTAGAGTGGTCACTATTTGTTTTATATACCTCATACATAGATTCTATACGAGGCCTAAAAAAGTAATAAAAAGAGTACCCACCAAATAGGTCTACTTCCTAGGCCTAGACTGTCTAAATGCCAGTCCCCTTTACTGCCATGCATGTCATGAATTACACAGTGACATTGTAAGTTAAATGATAGGCCCATCATTTAAAGTACTATCATTTAACGTGATAGTACTTTTTCCCCGAGAATTTATGAACTAGCGTTCAACCTACATCATAGGAGTGATCGTTGAAGTTATTACCTGCTTTTTAACCAACGAGATGGCTGGAATCTATGTATGCGATATATAATACCAAATAATACCCATAGTATTGTAGTAAACAGAGCAACTATGCTGCCAATAATTCATTAGTCTACCTACTGTATAGTCAAGAATCTATTTTTCAAATATTCAGATAGGATACTTTTTTTTATGGTCATCATAGATCATGCTCCAATAGTAAAGGATGTGTACAATGAGAACCAACAAGTGGCAATGATGACTCAAGATGAAGTTGACCAATTCAGGTAACAGCATTTTAATTTGTTTGCACATCATTAATATTTAACTATCCTACCAGATACCCATCCTACCAGGTACCCAACCTACCAGATACCCATCCAACCAGGTACCCATCCTTAGAGGTATCCATCCTAATATGCACATTCATTCTACTAGGTACCCATCCTAACATACACCTATCCTACCAGTTATCCATCCTACCATGCACATCCATTGTACTAGGTACACATTTTACCAGTATCCATCCTACCATGCACTCATCCTACCAGGTACAGTAAAACGTACATTTTACAAACGTCCATTTTACAAATGGTCTTTGCACCTGATGAGATCATCATTGACCAATTATTACCGTAAGACTGCACGTTTTACCAAGTGATAATGTATATTTTTTCTTAATAAAATCAAGTTTGTTGTATTTATTTAATAATAGTTCGATCTTTTCTTCCATTTCTGGTATAATAATCACTATATATATGTAATAAACCACCAGAACCACAAACTATCAACACAAGTGTTGTCGGATTGAACGCGCATGTTTACGATGACGAACAAGAGTGTTGGGATCAGAAACTTATTAACATAGTAAATGCTAGATATGATCGCGAAATGCATGTAAACAACATAATTTGGTGATCTAACAACTAGAAAGAACATGATAAGAAAGGTCCATAAAACATACAGATGTTTGAATAAGAGTTAAATAATATTTTGTTAAGTGGAAGAATGCCAGCGATCAAAATAATTTGGCTTTTATCAAAGATAAATTTAGCTAGGCTCTAGCGCGGTATTCCACACTGCTGCACCTCCGTTTCGTGCTCGGCCTGGCTGCCGTCAGTCTACCGACACTCAGTGGCAGCGGATAGCTAGGTATTGGAAACTGACACCCAATCTAGTTTACAAATTTCTCAATTTATGAACACCCCTTGGTACCAAGGGGTACGTAAAATGGACGTCCTACTATATACATTATGCATATATGCATGTTCATTCTATTAGGTACCCATCCTACCAGGTATCCAACTACCATGTAGGTACTCATTCCTACAGGTACCCATTCCTACTGGTACCATCCTACCATGTACACATTCTATTAAATAATAATAATAATGTAGTTTTATATAGTGCACATATCCATCTAACATAAGATGCTCAGGGCGCTTGATATGTGGACTAGGAACTCAATCATTAAGTGTCCATCCTACCATGCACCCATTCTTCCACTGTAACATTAGCCATCCTACCAATTATCCATCCTAACTTTACCCACCATAGCTGGGTAGGCTACCCATCCTGCCACCATGTACCCATTCTACTAGGTATCCAGTGGTAAACGATGAGAGTTGCTGGTACCAGTGTACCAGGTACCACAGGCACAACAGGATCCCTAAGGGTGAAGAAGGTCACTGATCTAGCTACTAGTCCACCTCCACACATCAAGCGCCATGAGCATCTAGTTTGATAGAAACATGCGCTATGCAAATGTACACTACAGTATTATTACAATGCTCCCATCATCATTGTATGTTTCACTTAAGTAAATTCATTAATGCTCATTGTAACTAAATGTGTTTACAGACTGGCAAACAATAACATTATTGTAGAAGACCTATCTGAGGAGGCGAGTAGATCAATTCCAAATCCAATTAGAAGCTTTGAAGAAGCGTTTGAAGATTATGGTTTGTACAAATTATATTTTATCTTTTTTCTCACTAATCACTTCCTTAACCACCATCTTTGGAAGCAGCTTGCGCAGCGGGAGTGGTTTGGTGTCTTAACCTCACGGTCAGGGTTTCAATCCCTTGCTGTGCATTTCAATTTTGACCTTGAGCAAGGCAATTTATTTGAGTTGATTCTCTCCATCCAGGTGTATAAATGGGTACCTGTTGTGGGGTTACATGCTCCTGCGTCCATATGGCAGCAACCAATGACCAGGGTAATCTAAAGGGAAAGGTGCTATATAAATACCCAGTAACAAAGAAACCTGTTTCTTCACTTGTTTTGGAACCCCCTCTCCCCCACTTTGTTTTATTTAAACATTAATCATTGTAATTATTATTTTAAACTTATTTCACTGTATCATCCTTTCCTTTTAGATGAGATAATGCGTGAGCTGCAAAAGCAGAAGTTTACCAAGCCATCTCCGATACAGTGCCAGGGTTGGCCTATAGCCCTGAAAGGTCATGACCTCATTGGGATTGCTCAGACTGGGAGTGGCAAAACAATTGCATTCCTTTTGCCGGCACTGATCCATATTGAAGTTCAACCAACGTGAGTTAAATTTTGAAATATGCATGGTTAGTAACATTTGCAGTAGTCAACCTACATTTCACATGGCTTTGTAGAAATGCTCTGTATTAGTACAAAAATCATTTTTACAAATTCTTCACAAACAGGTAAGCTGCAGATATTATGTATGTATAGTATACAAATAATGAATGTTTATGAGTTGAAAGATTGACTGTTCCATTCAATGAGGTGGAGCCGAATTGAATCGAACAGTCAACAATCAAACAAATGAAAATATTCTTTCCGCTGCATAAAAACCATTCATTATATGTTTTACACTCAAACTCGCCTAAGTCATGTCACTTCATTTTCCGTATATTTACAATGGTTAATATTTGCTCTAACTCCAATAAATTTAAGTCAAATAATAATGAAATTTGAACATATCTTACATGCCAAATTGATCTGTTTCCCATTAATTGTTAGTCCCTAAGTCGAAGTCAAAATCTTGACGTAAGCTCGAAACAAACAGCCTCCATATGTTTATAGTCTACTTAGCAAGATCGTATCTGTCGTCTACTGCTGCAGTAGCAAAAGTCTAGCGGTGCTATCCGCTGTGCAGTGCTCTCTTTTAACTAGCCAGCTGCACAGGCTAGGCCGCTGGAAGTCCCCCAGTGAGTTGAGAGACGGTGGCGGCGCTGTTTCAAAATAAATGAATCCAATCAAATGGTCTATAGATATGCTATCAGGCCTCACAGTTGGGAGCTTAAACAATTTGTGGATAATCTACATCCAATTCAAGCATAAATCTCTGTCCACACTATAAAATTTTCACACTATCAATAGCTATTGTATGCCCATATATATAGGTTATGTTCTCACACGGCTGCTAACGGTTAGCAGGATCCGGATCCTGCTAACCGTTAGCTGCTGTGCACCCATGCAAGAAAATCCCGATCAGGATACCAACAATATGATGATCGAATCACTGGCCAATAAGAAACTGAAAATTGTAAACACGTACGTGTGATTGGTTGATGATAGAAACGCCCTCAACTTGCTAACCGTTAGCAGTATTCAGATACTGCTAATGGTTAGCTCTAACCGATCGGGCGTTCTCACACAGGTGCTAACAGTTAGCACTAACAGTTAGCTCCTGATCCGGATACTAGGGCTCTCGTGAGAACCAGGCTATAGTCATGATGTGCCTATATATTTAGGCATCACATGTTTTTGTCAAATAAAATATGATTATGCCCACATATAGTCATGACATGCCTATATATGGTTATGTCATTATGTCACATGATGTCATTATGACCATATTTAGGCCTATCACATGTGTTTGTCAAATAAAATATGGTAGGTGTGAACAGGGCTTTATATACTGTACCATGAAGCATCACAGGAAGCTTAAAACAACACCTTTTGGAGTTCAGAAATTCAAATCACAATGTACATCAAACCATCAGTTCTGGAACTTAAAATTTGCAAGTGCCACCCTTATAAATACATTATCATTTAATTTTTTTTAGGCCGCGCGTTGATCGTACTGGTCCGTCGGTCTTAGTGTTGTCTCCAACACGTGAACTTGCGATACAGATACACACAGAGGTGATCAAGTATCACTACAAAGGTATTAAGAGGTAAGAAATGTACTTTTGTATGTTTTACTATAAATTATACATTTCAAACATGAGTTTTTTAAGTAGCTCTCAATGCCATAACAAAGCCTTTAATGAGGCTGTGAAAATGGAGAAAAAAAATTCCGAGAAATACGGAATCAATTGAACCTGGAACATTTGAACTGGAAATTGTGCGACTTAACCAACTAACATGAGCTCCATTCTCGATATTTAGTCTGGCATGTTCAGGGCAATCTGTTTGTGCCTGCCAGATTTAAATTAATTAGCACACTTATCACTTTTTTTTTAAAGTTCATAAATTATTTCACTTTGCTGTTAACCTATTCAACCGTTTAATTTAATATTAATTGCCTGGCATTGTTGCCGTACATTTACTACACATTATTGAGGCAATACATATTGAGGGGTCAAATCAAGAAACCTGCATTGGGTACCGAAAGGTCCACTGATTAATCTCAGATAAGATAGTATAAATACAAACTCCAAGTATCGAAATGCACGTCATCGTGTCGGATTCAATATTTCAACATTAATTATGTCATCATCAGCAATGCATTGGGTACAGTAGCACAGTGCTGTGAAAACCCTGTTGTGACCGTGTAGCAATTTTATGAAGACGGCGCTGTGCAAGGAATTAAAAATCTGCTCCCTGTGAGCATTAGACGATGCAATGCCATCTGCTAATTGTCAGTGACAGCCTGAACAGATCATCATTAAAAATTATCTATTGCATGTGTGTTGTGACGCGTTCATAGAATCGCGTCGGCCGACAACCATCAGGCGCAATGAGTCCCCGGCTTCATCAGCATAAATACTTAATGAAAAATGAATGTCAAATGATATCGTAATAGAATAAAAAATCTTGAAAGGGTCATCCTTTATCTATTATTTTTTTATGTATTTAGTGTATGTATTTACGGCGGGGGAAACCGTCGTGAACAAATCAATACAGTGACACAAGGCGTGGAAATAGTGATCGGTGAGTTTCTATGTTTCTAACATGAGTTTTAACATGATACTTTTGCTTCAAAAATTTTCAATATGGGGGCTACTGGGGAAGTGCAAGTGATTTTTCTTTTTAGGGGGGAGCATCCTAGATACACTACTTCCACTAAACCTATATGCCAGCTAATTATTTGCCAAGTTCAAGGTAATACTTATATATTTGACAGTATAATGTAATTTCTCAATAATTCATTAACTATTGAGATTATAAATCTAAAATAAGCTTAGTCCATTGGTACACAAATGTGATATTTTATATTAAGTAAAGCAGCCTATTATATAATGCATATTATTGTATTCATTATATCTCACTGTGTTGGTTGGACAAATCCATTATTTTCTAGGTGAGTTCCAAACAGGCATAAATCTGTTTATCCACTGCTGATTTGTATATGTTGTTCATTTCAGCCACTCCTGGTCGATTAAATGACCTGATTTCCAGTGGTTTCATTGATGTATCTTCGGTCACATTTTTGGTAAGTTTTGTTATATTTTGTTTTTAATTAGTCATTAGAGCACATTCCAATAGTTAGATCCTTATATATTTGAATTAAGATATACGAATATTATTTTTTTTTTTGTTGAATGGATTTTTGCAGGTGTTGGATGAAGCAGACAGAATGCTCGATCTAGGATTTGAACCCCAGATCATGAAGATCCTTTTAGATGTCCGTCCAGATCGACAGACAATAATGACTAGGTAAAATTCGCAACATTTGACAAGTATGCGAATACCACATTTTGCAAGGGTTTTGTTATGATCTGGCAAATAAAGATTTTGGAAAGGGTAAATTAGGTGGACGTGCATGATGGGTCATGTGTCATCTTAAAGTACCTTATTACTGTACAAAGTCATAAAAGAGATACAACACCACACATGCCTGATAACCGCATCCCATGTGGATACTTTATTAGTAAACATAATAGTAAAGGCAGTATAGGCCATAGACACACGCTCCAAATGGGAGCCTATTTTTATTTTGCTTTGTCATGCCTGAACGTTAATCATTGTATTGTGGAGTGTGCATTCGTAAAGGTGAAAGCCCACGTAATATTCAAAATTGATTTGAACATTATGGTGACTTTCAATCAAATAACTTCTATTTGATCCAATGGCTGGGCTAATAACATAATGTGTAAACATAAAATATACCAAATGGATTGACACTACCAATGTTGAATTAACCATTTTGATTGTATGAACTCAAAAAACTGATTAGGTGGTGCTCTTAAAAATGTTTGTTTCGGTGATGCGGATCAGTCAAATCGGGCAAGCCATCCCAATTGCGTCATTGACTGCTATACAGTACAACGATTGCACTGAAAACACTGTAGCAATAGTGTAGCGATTTTAAGGAATCAAGGCTGTACTTTAATACATGTGGGGCTTGCCATGCCAGAACCAACATCGGTGACTAAAACAAGAAAATTGACGTCTTAATATATTCATATTCTAAGCATTATAAGCTTGATGATGTTCATTTACTGGAATCAACTTAATCATTGGTCGAGTTCCTAGTCCACATATCAAGCGCCCTGAGCACCTTACATTAAATGGATATGTGCGCTATATAAAACTACACTATTATTATTATTAAAATATAGCTAAATTTATCAGTATTAAAATATAGCTAAATTTATCAGTAAAAGTATTATGGCTTCTTTGTAGTGAAGTATACAATACTGGCACATTTTTTTGCTAATTACTCAGTTTAAAATTTTAGTGACAGTGCTGTTTTTGGGATGGCAAGCCTCAAATGTAAATAATATCGATAATTCTGTTTATACATTTTTAATTTGTTTAGTGCCACATGGCCCGATGGAGTGCGCCGCCTGGCTAAAAATTACATGAAAAATCCAATGCAAGTCTATGTTGGTACACTTGACTTGGCTGTAAGTAAATTTTACTCTTCTGTCGCTCATGAATTTGTACAGCGTATATATCGCATATTTTGATATTTTTATAGAATAATTAATACTTTACTTGGTGAGCTTTGTATATTTAAGGGATTATCTTTAAATTCGAAATTCAAAAATATTTCTTGCTACCAAACACATACATAAATACAGAAGATGTTTTATTCTTATTTCCATAAATCTTTAAATTAGTTTGTAATGAATTTAGGGACTTTCATAATTATAAGTTTAAAACTAAAGACCATTAAAAACTGAAATTTTGCAATCTGTGTTTATTGTAAGACAATTGAATTATAAAACTGATTTTTCCTTTAATTTTCTAGATTCTACCACAGAGAAATAGTATATAAATTTTAATTACACAAAATTTCCATTATCAACATCATTTTAATACCTTTTGTTTTCAGGCATGCCATAGTGTAACACAGCTTATAGAAGTACTTGAAGAAGAGGAAAAGCGTAGCAGGGTAAGGAATTTTTAATAACAGCCATTTATTTGCTGTCATCTACATATTAAATATTGAAATGGAGTAATTTGCTGCCCTCTGGAGTTTACTTCAGTAAAATTCATACTTTTCTAAAAGTATTCAATTCTGGTTTTTTTTTAATTCTCAGCTTTTGGACTTCTTCGAGAGTATGCAGCAAGATGAAAAAGTTCTTGTTTTTGTTGGTAGGAAAGTAACGTAAGTCACTGAAGCTTAGTTTCATGCATGAAATCAGAGTTAAAATTTAAATATACAATGAATACAGTTGGTGAAATCCTTTGTATGGGCAGCATGGAGCTTTTAATTACACAACAACAGTAGGATGAAGAACATGATGACGTTCTCGTCGTGTGGATGTTTGGATGCATTTTGGCCAAATTTATGTATGCAGACAGTGTAGGACACCCGGTAGGATGGTCACGCACGAGTGATTCCATTCTAGCGTCACGTTGTTCCACAAATCGATAGCTCCCTAATTAAGAAATTTTGAATGTTCTTTCTGGTTTTTCAACCCTAACCTCCTCAACTTAATATAATCAACTGTACTGTAATGTGCATTAATTTGATGAGCTCAAATGTTAATGAAATTACTTGGTAGTGTATTTTTTATACAATTGTTTTGTTGTGCCTGTTTCTGTACTGTCTTTTTGGTCCTTTCTTTTTTATTTTTTATTTTTCAGACATTATTTAGCTTATCAATCAAAGTTTGCGAATAATGTGCAAATTAGATTTTACTTTCCCAATACTGTACATTATATTATTATTTTATTATATATTATCTTTACATATTTTCTAGTACATTCTTATTTCATAAATTTTATTTCCGTATTTTCAGTTTAGTTTTAGTATTAATGATTTGTTTGAAATTATTAATTTTTAGAAATGTTTCTGATCTTTTGAATAATTGTATAATTGTATTGTATTTTATCAAACAAACGTCATTAGTGAATGAATACCTATTATGTTTCTTTGAGTACAAATAAATTGATATTATGCCCTGTCCAGAATATCAAATTTTATTTTACTAAAAATGTGACATGCTGCCCCTAAATATGGTCATGATGACATCACATGACCATATATAGGCACATCATGACTGATGACTATATAAGTGCATACAACAGTTAATTTGTTATATATTTATAGTGCAGACCACTTATCGAGTGATCTCAGCTTACAAGGTATCGAAGTGCAATGTATCCACGGAGGTCGTGAGCAGGAGGATCGGGAGCAGGCATTGGACGATTTCAAAACTGGTATGTTCAAATTCTACATTCTTCAGTCTTTACATTAGAGCAGCTTAACCCTCTGGATACCAGATTCTTTTGTAGTGCAAACCCTTGAATACCGGATTCTTTTGC